TTCCTGAGCATCCCCCCACATTCCTGAGCAGCCCCCCAGCTCCCGTGCTGGAGCCCTGCCCTAAAACATCTCCTGGTTTATCCCATCCCAGGAAGGGCCCTGCCCTAAAACATCTCCCAGTTTATCCCATCCCACAGCAGCCAGGAGTTTGGGACATGGCTTGCCAGGATTTTGGGAATGAGCTGCTCCCTGGCTCTGCCAGGGCTGTTCCCACACCTCACCCTGGGGGTGTTGGGGAGCCCTCACCGGCACCAGGACACCCCAAAAAAGGCTGAGCCCCCCCTGAGACCTGACCTCAATCCCTCCACACACAGCTGGCTTTGGATCCTCCCTGTGCACCCCCAGGGGTGGGATCCCAAAAACACCCAGAGCCCTCAGCCTGCTCCTCACCAGGTTGTTATGGTGAGCGGACTAACGAGTTCTAATTAGCAGAGCTGATGAACTTTTGGGTTACTCAGCTGGGAATTTCCAGCAGTCCCTTCCCTGACCCCGCACGAGGCAGCAGCAGCAGCACGTGGCCCCTCTCAGGAGGAGCTTGCAGTGGGGAAAAAGCTCAGGAAACGGGGACATGCAGCAGAAAAAAATGACTTTTTTTTTTTTTAGCAACTATGATTTTGCAGCTTGTGAGAGGCACAGGAAGGAGCTCTGGGGAGGATTGTCAACAGATCCCAAAAAAACCCACCCTGCCCTTGTTATCCCAGAGCTCACCTTGCTGGGGAGGGCAGGGCAGGCCTGCCGGGGGCTCGGCACCTCTGAGGGTTCTGCAGGTGCCTAAATAAGGATTTTGGGGTGGTGAGAGGCACCCGCAGCTTTGGGGAGTTTTTTAGGATGTTCTAAATCCATCCCAACCTGGATTCTGAGCGGATCCACAGCTCCTGGATGTTCCTTGCAGGAAGAACAGTTCTAAAAAACAGTTCTAAAATCAGGGCCAAGGATTGAGGTTTGCAGATGAGAAGGCCCCGACAGGACACGGGAAAGCCCCAAAGTCCCTTCTCACTTCTCCTCACAAATGTCCCAGACCCTCCAGGGTGACCCCAGAAACTCCCAGTGGCTCATCAGGAAGATAAAAAGGGGATCTGGGGTCACTTTGTCCCTGTTTTTGCTCTCAGCATGGACGGGTTCCGGCTGGTGAAGCTCAATGAAGTCATCAGGCAGGTGGACATCGTCATCACCTGCACAGGTACGGGGCCAGGACGGGGGGGAGAGGGGATTCACACCCCAAAACGGCCCCACCCCAGCCTGAGGGAAAGCCCCAGAGGCGGGGCAGGACGGGGCATTCATCTGGGTTTGGGTGCTGGCAGGCAACAAGAACGTGGTGACCAGGGAACATCTGGACAGGATGAAGAACAGCTGCATTGTCTGCAACATGGGGCACTCCAACACCGAGATCGACGTGGTGAGCAGGGCTGGGGGGCTTGGGGTGGCAGCTTTGGGGTGGGGACGGGGTTTTGGGGTGATGGTGCTCTGAGGGGACTG